ACACATGTAACACGTCGCCACTCTTCTTCGTAAACTCTGTTTTATTCTTTTTTTTTTTTTTAAGATTTTTATTTATTTATTCATGAGAGACAGAGAGAGAGAGGCAGAGGGAGAAGCAGGCTCCCAAGGAGCAGGGAGCCCGATGTGGGACTCGATCCCAGGACCCTGGGATCATGACCTGAGCCGAAGGCAGTCGCTTAACCATCTGAGCCACCCAGGCGCCCCGTAAACTCTGTTTTAAAAAGTATAGTTACTTCCACGAAAATGTTATGTTAACATGTAATAGGCTTATTGTTTTTAAAAATGAATTGATAAATAATAAAATATTTCTTGATTTTGATTCCCAGTGCAATAAATGCTGATTAGGTCACCAGTTAACAGATAGATCCCACATGAACAAAAGCCACGTAGGGTCCTCAGGAACACGTGTCCGTGGGCTCTGAGAGCAGAGGTGGAGAAGCGTCCGTCCGGCTGCCGTGCAGGGGGGCAAGGACGAGGTTGGTTACCTGGATTTTGTAAACAGTCCAGGTGAGCAGCACGGACGATGAGAAATGGCTCCGTCTGGATTGATTTGTGTGTGTGGATTTTTTTTTTTTTTTAATTGTGGTAACGCACACGCGAAGCCTCCCATCGGAAGTGCACGCTGTGTTAAGTACATGCGTTCACTGTGCTGTGTGGTTGATCCCGGAACTGTGTTCCTGTCACAAAACTGAAACTCTGTACCCACGAACCAACAACTCCCATGGGTCTGGATTTACTTTGAAAGCGAAGCCGACGGGCTTTGCTCTTGGTCTAGAAGAGGCACGTGTAAATGTCTGGTAAACGCGCCATCAGTCAGGGAGACGGTAGCTGCTTTCCCGCCTCCGTGCTGGGGTAGAATGGCACACGGGAGCCGCAGAGCACGGGCCCGTGAAGCCCAGTCTCCTGGCGGCTCGTGCTGGTCATCACGTGACAGCAGACACAGCGTGGTGGTTGCTAATATCCCATCGTGGCTGAATACTGAACCTTAGCTTTAGCTCCTTCTGGAGATGGACGTACGGGAAAGAATCGGGTCGTTCATTCAACAAATAGGCACCATCTGCTTGGAAGTAGAGCTTCTTCATACCATTCCTTCTACTTCGATCGGCCCAGCTGGGGCCGGCGCTCGGCGGTGAATACACACGCCGAGGTTGTAGTGTGAGCGCTCGTAAGGTGAAGGTAAAAAGGAATGAGAAGGTTTGGGCCGCCCAGACCGTGCTGGGGGAGATGGGGACTCAGAGAGGGCCCTGGCTCTGAGCGGGAGGAGGTCTCACACGGGCCAAGCCCCAGGCAAAACAAATGGAGAGGAATGAAACTTGATTTCACCGCCAGGATGGCAGTTCTTACCTTAGGAACAAAAGCATCCGTGCCAGTGCCGAACCAAGAAGGACACAGGTCGCTTCTCCAGTGATCTGCCCCAGCCTTGGGGGTTGTGTGCATGTCCCTGGTGTGCAGGTGACACTGAGATTAAGAGGCCGGTTTTATGTGCTAAAGGTCACGTAGCCAGTAATAGGAGGGAGCTGGAATCTGACCTTAACACGGCCTCACCCTCAAAGTGGGTTATTTGTAAACACTGTTTTCAGTCAAGGTTTTCAGAAATTTGCATTTAGTTTTATTTATACTCTGTAATTTTTTTTTTTTTTTAAGATTTTATTTATTTATTTGACCCAGAGAGAGACAGCAAGAGAGGGAACACAAGCAGGGGGAGTGGGAGAGGGAGAAGCAGGCTTCCCACATAGCAGGGAGCCCGATGCGGGGCTCGATCCCAGGACCCCGGGACCATGACCTGAGCCGAAGGCAGACACTTCCGACTGAGCCACCCAGGTGCCCCTGTACTCTGTAATTTTATATTCATAAGTTTTCTTTTATATTTTTATTTGTAATGCTAGTTTTAAATAGGTAATACTGTATTATTATTGCCATAAAGAAGTGATAGTATATTTTTCTTTGTAACTTTTCTGTGATAGCTTAAAAACAGATAATTTGTCTATAGCCATCAGTCATTTAATTTCTAGAGCAGTTTATTTCTTAATTCCGGTTGCTTCATAGACTCAGTTTCTATATTACTTACTCTGGAATTCAGAATTTCATCCCATTAGGGTCTTGATGCCAAAGTTTTCAACAAAAAATACAAGTGTTGGGGTGTCTGGGTGGCTCAGTTGGTTAAGCATCTGCCTCAGCTCAGGTCACTACTGGGATCGAGCCCCACGGTCGGGCTCCCTGCTCAGTAGGAATTTTGCTTCTCCTTCTCCCTCTGCCCCCCTCCCCTGCTCGTGCACGCTCTCTCTCTCTCACTCTCTCTCAAATAAATAAAATCTTAAAAAAAATTACAAGTGTTGCCTTCCAGACTAATGAGTGTTTTATTATTTTAGTAATAGATGTGTGTCTTTAAAAGCAGTGGAGTTTAATAATTCTGACCTGGTCTGTTCCCTTTCTTCTTTTTCTCTTTTTAAACACAGTTAACAAGCACAAACCATGGCTCGAGCCCACCTATCATGGCATAATCACAGAAAACGATAATGCAGTGCTTCTCGACCCTCCTCTGATTGCCCTGGATAAAGACGCACCTCTGCGATTCGCAGGTATGAACGCGGCTTTTATCTTACTGTTGATAAATGGCGGACTGGATGCGAAGCATTTCACATATCCCGTTTAGATTATTTCTGAGCCTTTCTGAAAATGTCTTGATAGTTAAGAGGTGTTTGTGGCTTCTGTGTATGACATTTTTTCCTTTTAATTTTAATAGTTGGAGTAACTGGAAAGAAAAAACCTGTCCTTGCTGAAAAGCAAAATATTTATTGCATCATTGTATTCCTCGGTGTGACCAGATAGAGAACACCTAGACCAGTGTGTCTCAGACTAGCGTGCACACAGAGCACCTGAGGATCATGTTTTTATGCGGATTTGGGTACAGCGGGTCGGGGAGGACCTGCGATTCTGCCTTTCTGACCTGTTCCCTGGTGCTGCTGGTTCGTGAGTGGCTCGAGGCTGTCCTTGCATGGCCCAGGTGTCAGGTACCAGGAAAGACTGAGCTGAGAAAACGGAGCCGTGTTTATAGAAGAATGCTTTTGGCTTAGATTTTTACTTTTAATAAATTTTTAACAGGAGTTGCTTCATAAGCTTGTAACCTAAGTATTTATAAGAGACAAATCTCTGGGATTGCTTTGGAGGTTTTCTGCTTTGTAACTTTTTTTTTTTTTTTTTTTAAAGATTTTATTTCTTTATTTGACAGAGAAAGACACAGCGAGAGAGGGAACACAAGCAGGGGGAGTGGGAGAGGGAGAAGCAGACTCCCTGCTGAGCAGGGAGCCCGATGCGGGACTCGATCCAGGGACTCCAGGATCATGACCTGAGCCGAAGGCAGTCGCTTAACCAACTGAGCCACCCAGGCGCCCCTCTGCTTTGTAACATTTAATAGCACTTTCCAGGTCAGAACTGTGCTTGCTTTTACACAGTGACCATAGTAGCTTCCTTAGCTGGGGGGGGAAGTGCTGCTTCACCCTTGGTTTGCCTCAGAGTCAAAACTGACATTGTGATGGTAATTTTTGTAAAGACTAGTTTTTGTAGGGTATTTTTCCCGAACCCAGTTTCTCATATTAAAGAAGGTGTTCTCTTTGTCTAGGGACAGATATGGACAATTCAGTGAACTCGTATAGATTCTATCGTACATTAATTTTACTGTGGTAAATTGAGGGAAATGAGTGTGCGGTTGTTTCTGAAGAGCTATTTTTACAATGACTGTGTTCTTCATATTCTGTTCGAGTGCCACATCCCATTTTCAGGAACGTAACCTGAGCACCAGTTTGCGCTCCTCGAGTCAGTGGTGGAGACAGACCAATTAGTTTTACTTGTTTATTGGTTTTTACAGAGAAACCCAGTTAGATGGACAGGAGAGGAAGCGCTCTGTGCCGGGAACGCACATAGTGTTTGTCTATCAGTTGAGGTGGTTTGTTCCGTTTTGTTTCCCCTAGGTTTAAAACCATTTTAGCATTGCGTGTTGGTTTTCTCTGTAACTACCTGGGTTTTGGGGGTGTTTGTGTGTGTGTGTGTATATATATATATGTACACACACAGACATCCCATGTGTACCGTATGGTTATTATGTCCAGTTCTTCCTCGGGAGTGGGATATTTAGTGCTGTGTAAATAAGTTTATGTTTTAGAGTGGATTTACACCTTTCATGCATTTGAAGAGGTGACTGCAGTCAGGAGTTCTAGACTCATTCCTTTGGGTCTCTCTGTGGAGTATCCGCTGCAGACCTATTGTGTGCAGAGCACCCTCCTGCTGCCTTACTAATAATACGGAACGTGTATAGAGCCTTTGAGATCTTGCAGGCGCTGTTCTAGGTTCTTTACAAATACAAATTTGTATGTAATCCTCCATGGTCTTAGGGGGTAAGTACGCTTCCTGCCATCATCCCGGGTTTGTTTCTTTCTTCCTTTTTAAAGTCAGTACATTTTTATGTAAGGAATTTACATGTGATTCCTTCCGCTCCCAATCACCTTAGTTCCTCCGAAGTCAGAATCGCAGTCTTCAAAATAGTCCTTTTCAAAGGAACTTTTTTCAGTCCCGGTTGTCACTTCTCCGTCCACAGTTCCTCTGGTTAGGCTTCTTTGACCTCCGCTTGAATATGGACATACTTCAAAAATTCCCCTCATGTTTCAGGTCAGAGTAGATGGATCTGCCTGGTTCTCAATTTCAGACACCCCCTTAACCTGAAGAAGTTCAAACCGTGTTTACCCCAGAACGATCACCCCCTAGCATTGGACAGATTTGGGGGATATGCCAATACCTTGAAGTCCAGACATTGTGTTCTCAAGTGAGAAGGCACCTTTGTTTCATGTCGACGTAAAAGTTAGAATGTTAAATTCAGTATAGCTGAGATTTCTCTTATGTCCTAAGCTTTTAGTCATTTTGTGGTCCTGGACCCAACCTTCCTGTTGACCAGCACCGCCACCGTCAGTTTCCCCCGTTTTAGGTGTCGTGTTCCTTCTTATCCAATCAGACTGAACAGTGAGTTCTGGGCTGCCAGACAGGACTTACTTCGTGCTCTTGTCTAAGTCTTTGCCCACAAATGAAACAAAAGCAGATGCAAGTGCTTTCTGCCATCCTCATTTGAAGGAGAGGAAGCTGGAACACAGAGCAGTGACCCCATCTGTCAGCATGTGTCAGAGGCAGGGTGGCTCTTTGCCACGATGAGGCCCTGGTGGGCACTGCAGGAAGCTACAGCGGAAGCAGGAAGCGAAATACACTTTGAGGAAAGAGTCCTATTAATAAAATGTCATCTATTTTTTCTTTCTTGTTGGATTAAATGTTATTGCAGCATTTACCAAAACCTAATGTATTATCATGAATGAAATAATACTTATTTTAAAGTTGTATGTTTTTAGGGGTTCCCAGCTGTTTTTTATTGATGTGCAAAAGTTAACATATTGAGATTGAAAAAACTATGAAGAGAAGCAGTTGAGAGCCAAGTCACAGTGGTAACGTGATTATATTTGCCCTAGGTAGACAGGTAAATCGGTCCTTTCCTTCTGGAGATTTTCACGGGGGACCAATTATTCTTATATTCTTTTTAAAAAATATAATCCACACAGCAGAAAATCCACGCAGCAGCAAAGCATACAGTTCACTGGGTTTGAGTATATTCACAGGATTGTGCAGCAATCAACCACTGTCTGATCCCAGAACATTTTCATCACCCTCAGAGAAATCCTTGCACCGATTAGCACCCACTGCCCACATCCCCCACCCCTTTGGCAACCATTAATCTAGTTCGTGTCTATGGATTTGCCTATTCTGGATTTGTTGTGACTAGTGTCTTCACCTCACCTGGTACTTTGAAGCTTCACCCATGCTTCAGTAGTCGCATGCATCCGCCCGTCCTTTTTATTGCTGAATACTAGCCCGTCGTGTGGACGTACCACATTTCCCGTTTATCTGTTCATCAGCTGACATGCATTAGGATGGTTTCCACTTTGTGGAATGATTATGAATCATGCTGAAGTGAACATTAGCGTACAAGTCTTCGTGTGGGCGTAGGTCTCCGGTGTGCGTGGGTGTACTCCTGGGCGTGGAGTTGCTGTGCAAACGCTCTTACTAAAGCACAGCCCCGGTCCCCCCGCCCTGGGGGGCGGCAGCCGGGGGGCCTCCCTCCCTCCTCTGTTGCCATGGCACCTGTCCCGCCGCAGCTCAGAACGCTGCCCCCCTGAGGCCATAGCTGGCAGGTACGTCAGGAACACAGACCCCAGCCTGGGCTTGAGTCCTGTCTCGGCCAACTACTGGCTGGATGGCCTTGGGCAAATGACTGAACATCTCCGTGTCCCAGTTTCATCCGTTGTAAAACAAGGAGAGTGACGTCACATACCTCCAGGGCTTGGGGATGATTTGCTTATTTATAAAAATGAAGAGCTCAAAACAATGCCTGGTACATAGTAAGTGCTGTATACAGTGTTTGCTGCTGCTGTTATTAATAGAATCTTCTAGAAACATTTTTTTTAAAGATTTTATTTATTTATTTGAGACAGAATGAGAGGGAGGAGGGTCAGAGGGAGAAGCAGGCTCCTCGCCGAGCAGGGAGCCCGATGCGGGACTCGATCCCGGGACTCCAGGATCATGACCTGAGCCGAAGGCAGTCGCTTAACCGACTGAGCCACCCAGGCGCCCAATATGAAAACACACATCTTTTTTTTTAATATTTATTTATTTGAGAGAGAGAGCATGAGAGGGGGGAGGGTCACAGGGAGAAGCAGACCCCCCGCTGAGCAGGGAGCCCGATGCGGGACTCGATCCCGGGACTCCAGGATCATGACCTGAGCCGAAGGCAGTCGCTTAACCGACTGAGCCACCCAGGCGCCCAATATGAAAACACACATCTTTTTTTTTAATATTTATTTATTTGAGAGAGAGAGCATGAGAGGGGGGAGGGTCACAGGGAGAAGCAGACCCCCCGCTGAGCAGGGAGCCCGATGCGGGACTCGATCCCGGGACTCCAGGATCATGACCTGAGCCGAAGGCAGTCGCTTAACCGACTGAGCCACCCAGGCGCCCTAGAAACATTTTATTTAACATTTCGTGAGAAATGTTTTTCTGTCTTTCTGTAATAGTCCTCATAGTGTTCCATTTTCTCACTGAGTTTCTTAAATAGTTTTTTGGGTAAGGCAGAGGCCCCATCGGGAGGCTTATTTTGATCTTAGATTGGTTTTGGTGATGAAATGCAATTTAGTTTACCAGCATGATGGTGCTGGTATTGTGGCAATGGGAGCATCCAGTGCTTGCTGAGCAGGTGGCAGAGGTTGTTCTAAGGGCTTTACAGGGGTCACTTTCTCTGATTCAGCAGTCTCCTGCAGTGGGGATGCTTGCTGCTGCTGGCTTTCCAGGTGGGGGACTGGCAGTCGGAGTGTGTCCGTCAGTAGCATGACAGCCTTGTTCTTCACTTAATCCCCAGCGCCCAGGCTGGCACGTGGGAGTAGCTGATGCCCCACAAACATTCGTAGAAGGAACGAGAGGCTTTGCCCAAGATCACCCAGCTCAGAAGTGGTAGAGCCAGCCTCAAGCCAGGCAATCTGGCTCCAGTGTGGATTCATACATTCGCTGTGCCCACTTCCCTGACGTTATCTTTAAAACACTGTGGGGCGCCTGGGTGGCTCAGTCGTCAAGCGTCTGCCTTCGGCTCAGGTCGTGATCCCAGAGTCCTGGGATCGAGTCCCATATCGGGCTCCCTGCTCCGCGGGAGGCCTGCTTCTCCCTCTCCTACTCCCCCTGCTTGTGTTCCTGCTCTCACTATGTCGCTCTCTGTCAAATAAATAAATAAAATCTTTTAAAAAATAAAATAAAATAAAACAAAACACTGTGAATGTCCCAGCTCACAGTCGTGTCCCATCACAGGACATGAGAGTGGGCAACCACCACGGCTTACTTGTCGAAGCCCCAAGATAAACACACATAACGTTGGAAGCTTAGTCACCAGCGTGCTTTGTAAATGGTCTCCAGTCAGACACTAGTGTTGAACATATAGGGTCCAGCCCAGATTGTCTTCTTGGGGGAAACCCAGAGACTAAAGTCTTGGTACTTGTCAGCTATTCTGGGAAATTAAAATGAGTCAATTCCTTACTCATCCCCTTTTCTATAATCTGCTAATAGCCCAGGTAGACGTGGGTATGGAAGTATGTTGTATGTTTTATGTATTCGATGGGGAGTTAGGAGCCCGCACCCCTTATATAGGCCACCCCTCCTCACTGCCTGGAGGAGAAACCCCAGTCTCCCCCTCGCCCCCTTGTTTGCAGGCTCTTCCCTTTACTACGTGGTTCCAGCCCAGCACTCATTTCCTGCCTCCCCAGATGGAGTTCGGATCATTTGCAAGAAGAGAACCAAAGGAAATTTCAGGGCAAGAATGGGAACTTTATCTTTGTTGATATTTAGTTAGAACCAGCTCAGATCTGTGATACTTTTCTCCATATTCTGGGTAATTTGTGTGACTCATGTGGCCTGAGGATGGCCAGGGGGGTTGACCGCCACACATCACCACCCAATTCTGCTTTTCTGGCAGATGCAACTGGGCAGACATTGTGTTTGCCACAGTGACTTGGATATATTTGGTTAAGCCACATGAAATCGCCATTGTTGTGTGTTGAAAATATCAAAATATTTGAAAAAATAGAATGCCAGAAATTTCATGTGGCTCAGCCTAACATAAGGCAGTTCTCCATTGAGTTAGCAGTTTTCAGTATCTGAATGTTAGGCCAGAAACTCCACGTTAAGTTATGGACTAGAGGGAATTCATTTTGAGGGCAGTTGCCTTCAGGAGAGGTTTGAGATAGTAACCATTAAATATTAGGTAGCCACGCCAGGTCTCCCAGAGAGTAGAAAAAAAGCATAAAAGTTGGTGTTTATTCTCAAAGCACCAATAGTCTAGGTGGGAAGCAAAACCAGCATTGACCAAGAGTTAAGTGGGGATACTTGGAGTTTATAATTTAGTGCCAAGTGAGAGCGGCGACACGCAGCCTGGACTGGAGACGGTGTGGGTTAAAGAAGGTACAGAGGTGACTGGGCGTGAAGGATGAGCGGACCTGACATACCTAGTGGAGAACAGTCGAGCAGGGGTGGGAGCCGGAGGGGCTTCCAAAGGGAGAGATGGACAGCTCGTGGGGCGTGTGGAGTGAGCGCACCGTGCGGGAGCAGAGGCTTGGAAGTCAGCTTGGGGCCCCAAGATTTCTGTTGCCAACTTGAGTAGATGGGATGTTTCTGTATATGTGGTTTTTAATACTGTGTCCACATCACCCGGGCCTGCACGTTGAGTGCAGTCACTGAGGTACAGACCCGGCTGCCTGAATCTAAACGTCCAGGAGGAGAGCCTAAGAAATCTGTATCCAGCCGGCGAGGTTTGGAAGCCGGTGACAGGCCAGGCTCTCGAGTGTAGACCACATTCTAGCTGCATTGCAGCTATCTGTGACACTTGTTAAAAATGCAGGTCTACTGGGCTGCACCGCAGAGCCGCGGAGTCAGAATTTCTGGGGATGGAGCTCGACAGACCACATTTTTAACAAGCTCCTCCGGTGGTTCTTGCACAGGAAATTTGAGAGTTGTGGCTGAAGCCAGTGAGGAGCTTGGAGGGGTAGCCCCTGGGTGTGTGGTGGTTGCTGCACATTTAAGCTGGAAAACTGGGGCGCCGGGCGGCTCAGGCTGGGCTTCTGCCTCTGGCTCAGGTCGTGATCCCAGGGTTCTGGGATCGAACCCCGCATCGGGCTCCCTGCTCAGCGGGAAGCCTGCTTCTCCCTCTCCCACTCCCCCTGCTTGTGTTCCCTCTCTCGCTGTGTCTCTCTCTGTCAAATAAGTAAATAAAAATCTTTAAAAATATATATATAAACTGGAAAACTGCTCTGATTAGAGCAACATTCAAGCTTGTCCCAGAAATTAGCCTGGACTAGTCAGCAAAGGAGTCACGTCACTGAAAATAAGGGTCGGCCTGGACATCCAGCTGGCGAGCATGGGCCCAAGGCTGTGTAGAGAGAATTGGGTTAGGGACAAGAGCGGGACTAGCAGGGACATGGTATTGGACACTTGCTCTCAGCAAATGTCTATTTTTCCTTCCTTTTTTTTTT